ATCCCTCTCTAAAATAAGAGAATTAGAGAGGAAAATAGCGAGGGACTGTCAATCCCTCTCTAAAATAAGATAATTTAGCAAAGGATTCTATCCCTAGCTAATTACTACAAAAAAATTACCTTTTGACAATGACTTTTAATTATACATTTAATTATTTTCATTTAAAAATAATAATTAAATTTAAAAATTAACTAAAATATTTATAATAAAATTATTTAATATTTTCTTTATTTTAAGTTGATTTTCATTAATAAAATAATATTTTATTAAAAATATAATATAAAGAATAATTTAAATAAAATATAAATATTTTTAACATATTAATAATTAAAAATAAAATTTAATATGTATATGTGTGTATTTTTATAATATATTATTTGATATATTTATGTAGTTAAATAATATATAGATATATATATATATATTTAATTTATCATATAATGCTTAAAGGTGCCTTTCAATTCAATTGGCAAAGAAGGAGAGCATAAAGCTTGAAAGGTATGAGGTCAATGGTTCAAACCTTGGCTTTGGCATAAACATGATGAATATATGATATGGTAAGGAGTAAGTGACATGGCGCAAGGTGGACAATGATGTGTCATAAGTTGTCGCACATGTAGTGAGTGATAGGGCACAAGATAGTAGGTGACATGGTAGTTAATAAAGCATGAGGTTGTTGATAACATGTCACAAGTTGACATCACATATGGCGGATAATGTGGCATAATTATTTTTAAATATAAACATATTTAGTGAGGGATTCAGTCCCTAGCTAATTTTAGCGAGAGATTCAATCCCTCACTAATTAGCGAGAAAAATACAATTTTTCGCTAAAGTTAGCGAGCCCTTTTTTAGCTATGAATTTAACAAGGGATAAAATTTGTAGCTAAAATACAATTTAGCTACAAAAAATGACATTTAGAGTCCCTCGCTAAATTCAATTTTTCTAGTAGTGTTTTATTTCCTCACGCTTCTTGAAGAACATGGAGAAAATCTTCAACTTCATGATTACACCATATGCAAGAGGGAGAAACACTTAAACCTCTACCTTTTCGAGCTTCATTCATCCCAAGTTTATTTTGGAGCATTAGCCAAAAGAAAGATTTACATCTCTAAGGAATATTCAATATTCAATTTTTATTTCAAAGAGGATGAGAAAAATAATGATCATTATTAAGCAAATTGTAAGTGGATTTAAGGGAAAAATTACTATAATTATGTTTTTCAAACTTCCATCAAACAGCTTCATCAAACTAGTTTGTCTAAGTTTTGTAACTCAATAATTTGTTGCTGCTGTTGTACTTTGTACCCTAGAGGTTATTTCTAGTTGTTATATACTTGGCTTTAAGTTATAATTGTGTTCTTTTATTATAAATTATAGTTGTTTTAACTCAATGATTATATTTATATATTTGTATTGTTTTAATTTTGAACTTAACATGTTGTGTAATTTAAAAAAATGTTGTTATTCTAGTATCCTTTCCACATTTTATCTACTTTTATTGGGATTTCATGGTATCTTCCTAGTGCCAAAATGAGACAAGAGGTACATGAGATAAAAATTTAATCCCATTTATTTAATTACGATGGGTGTATAGATTTAAAATAAGCATCCTTTATTTATTTTTAAGAGCAATATTTTATTGCAGGATAGGTGCAAAATAGGCATTAAAAATTTCATAAAAGTTAAAAGTCAAAGTAAATAATAATTCATTACTATTGACACTACAAAAAAATAACTTTTAACAGCAACAAAAGTTTAAAAGTCGCTGCTAAAAGTTTTTAGCGGTGACTTTTCACCATTAAAGGATTGCTATCAAAAGTATGGTCGCTAATAGTTTTTTGTGGTGAAAAACATAGTTACCACCAAAAGTTTTTCACCAATAAAAGTCTATCTTTTACGCCGCTAAAGTTATTCACCGTTAAAAACTATTAACAACTAGACTTTTGGTGGCGACTGTTTGGCATGAAAAGTCACCCCTAAAAACCTTTAATAATGACTTTTTGTCATTGCAAAAAGTATTTTTTTTAAAAAAAGTCATCCTATGCCACGTCAATGCTTCCTTGTGCCACGTCAATTAACACCTCATGCCACATCACCTATCATGTATGTACCACCTCATGCCACATCATGTGCCACATCATGCCATGTCGTCAATTAAGATTTGAGCTCTTTACCTCCACCTCCCAAGCCTTAAATTCTCCTTTTTTGCCAATTGAGTCAAAATACGCCTGCAGTTATTATATGTGAAATTAAATATATATTATTTAACTACATATGCATATATCAAATAATATATTATTAAAAATATATACATATATATTATATTTTATTTTCATTTATTAATATGTTAAAATAATTTCTATGAGTGTGTGTATATATATATATTATATTTTTTTAATAAAATATTATTTTTGTTAGGAAAATGAACTTCAAATGAAATAACTTTTAAATATTAAATAATTTTCTTATAATTTTTTTTACCAATTTTTAAATTTTATTTTACTTTTTAAATGAAAATAATTCAGTATGTAATTTATTTATAAGTATGTATTATATTAGTTTATGTTAAATATCTTTTACTTCTTTCCATATTTTTTTCAAAAATTAATTAATAAATTATTAAAATTTTATCTTCTCCCAAGTTAAATGCTTCCCTTTCTGTTATTAAAAATAAATTTTATCTAAAATTTTTCAATTATCTTAAAAAATATTTTAATAAAAAATTTATTTTAATTATATAAATTTTGTTAATAGTCATTTTGAAAAATTATTCTTTATTATCTTTAAGATAGGAAATGGGTGGACATGTGACAAACTAAAAATAGATGTTAAACAAAAAAAACTCCAAATTAAAAATCTAAGTGAATATTTCATAATCAAAATAGAATGAATCTTGCCTTGACTTGATCTAAATTAATTTAGACTTCCACTAAAGTCTCTTTAACAGAGTCAATTTAAAGATAATAGGGAATACTTCTCAATAATTTTATAATTTAAAATAAATAAATTTTAATAAGTTTATACATAATTTCATCTATAATTCAAAAAATCATCAAGTATTCTTCACCTATTTTATTTGTTACTTATTTTAATAATTGTCAAATATGGAGCATCTTATTTAAATAATTCTGTGATAGTGAAAAGTAGAGCTTAGCAAACGAAGTAGACACCATGTGTATATCAAATCAAGCATCAAGTGCGTAATATGTCAAGTAGATAGTCTACAATGCTCTTTGCATTTTACAACATCTATATACAACTTTAACACTCTAATGTTTATATATAACTTTCACATTCTAATGTTATTTATTTCTCATTATAGATATAAATATATTTAGTGACAACAAATTTTTCTGTTAATAGTAATTATGTAAATTAATTTTTAAAAATTTTTAATTTTTTAATTATTTTTTTTGAAATACTTTTAGCAGTGATAAATTGTAGTCATCAAAAGTAATTACATAAATTATTTTTTATGAAAATACTTTTATTGTAAATTATTTTCTATTTTTCATTATTTTTTATGAAAATATTTTTGGCGGCGACAGTTTGTTGCTGCTAAAAGTAATTACATATGTTTTTTTTTAATTTTTTAATTACTTTTTAATAAAAATACTTTTGGTGGCAATGATCTATCGCCACTCAAAAAGTAATTATGTAAATTATTTTTAATTTTTAATTATTTTTTATCAAAATAATTTTTGTCGCCGTTAAAAGCAATTACATAAATTATTTTTAATTTTGTAATTATTTTTTATAAAAATAGTTGTGGCTAAAAAAGTAATTACAAAATTATTTTTAATTTCTAAATTATTTTTTATAAAAATATTTTTGGTTGTGACAGTTTGTTGCCGCTAAAAGTAATTACATATATTTTTAAATTTTTTAATTATTTTTTGTGAAAATGCTTTTGGCGGTGACAGTTTGTTGTACCTAAAAGTTATTTTTAATGGCAACAATTAATGTCGCCGCTAAAAGGGAGCCATTAACAATAACAATTAAAAGTCACTGCTACAAATATGCTTTTGGTAGTGACTTTTAGTAGCAACTTCTAATTGTCGTTGCCACAAGTATACCTTTGGCAATATTTTTTTTTGTCGCCGTTAAAAATAATCACCAAAAGTCATTTTTTTCTAATGTGATATTTTTTTAATAAATGAAAGTTTAAGTGAGTTAAATCTCGATGGCTTACTAGGGCATGCCTCCAGACTCAAAAAGTGCATGCAAAAATACTTTCAAATTGTCCACCTACAAAGTCCTCACATCAATCATATAAAAATAGGTTGAACTCAACTCAACCCAAGACATAATTTTCTCAACTCATATGGGCCAACATGAGGATTGAATTTGATTGAGATTTTTTTAACTCATATAAAAATAGATTGAACCCAACCCAACTCAAGACATAATTTTCTTAACTCATATGGGCCAACCCATATAGTTCGGGTTGACCCGTATTCCAAATTCTAATTAATATTCATATTTTATTATCTGTTAATTATAGTTTTATGAAAACAAAACAAATATAAAATTTATATATGGAAATAATTAAAGGTTTACACCAGAAATTAGGTATAAAATGTTATATATAACAAAGATTATATATAATGCTTGAATCTTATGATATGTTTGGCTGGAGAGAGGAGAAATTTTAGTAAATTAGATTTTGAAAAAAAAATAGAGAAGCGAGCTTAAAAATTTCTAATTATTTTTTTTACTTCATTATCTTATGGCATATTCTTTATATTAAAATTTATAAGCTCACTTATCCATTTTTTAAAAATCCAAGTCATTAAAATCTCCCTTTCTGTTATCCCCCTTCATTTCCCTTGCTTAGATAAGGCTTATGAAAGTTTTATACAAACTGTAATGACTCACACTTAACCATTTTCTGTTTTCAAATTCTATCTCATCAGAAACACATTAGTATTTAATTGTAGTTCGTCCATAGGGTGATACACAGACGTTTAGATTACGAAAAGAATATTGATTAAAAATGGCTGGTGGAGGATTTACCAATGCTGGAGGCAAAAGGGCTCATCTTTATGAGTACAAGATTACTAGCTTTTTCATATTTTCTTGCATTGTCGGTGCCATGGGTGGCTCTCTCTTCGGCTATGATCTTGGTGTTTCCGGTGAGTTCCTACTCATAATATATATATATATATATATATAGTCAGTTGCGATACGCATACGGTTAATTCATCATGATTTATATGTTTGTGAAGGTGGCGTGACGTCCATGGATGATTTTCTGAAAGAGTTCTTCCCACGTGTTTATGCAAACAAGCATGCGCATCTTAGTGAGACAGATTATTGTAAATATGACGATCAGATATTGACATTGTTTACTTCGTCTCTGTACTTTGCGGCCTTGGTTTCAACATTTTTTGCTTCAAGTCTGACAAAGAACAAAGGTAGAAAAGCCAGCATCATCGTCGGATCTATAAGCTTCTTCATCGGGGCTGTAATCAATGCCGCTGCAATGAACATCGCCATGTTGCTCATTGGCCGTATCCTCCTCGGTGTCGGCATCGGATTTGGCAACCAAGTATGTTCATTCATTGTCTAATAATTGTGCCATGCGGTGCATGTCAAGTACGTGTGTGTCAATAATAGACTACTAATCATATATATTTGTCAAAGCTAATTATTTGAATGTTGAAAAACAAATAAGCAGGCCGTTCCATTGTATCTTTCTGAAATGTCTCCAGCTAAAGTACGAGGAGCAGTGAATCAATTATTTCAGTTAACAACTTGTTTGGGAATTCTGGTAGCAACCTTGGTGAACTATGGCACGGAGCAACTACACCCATGGGGATGGAGATTATCTCTAGGTTTAGCCACAGTTCCTGCAACATTAATGTTCATAGGAGGCATGTTGTGCCCAGAGACACCAAATAGCCTCGTGGAACAAGGCAGGATGGAAGAAGCAAGAACCATACTAGAGAAGATCAGAGGAACCACTAACGTAGATGCAGAATTCGAAGATATGATTGAGGCAAGCAGAGAAGCTCAGGCCATAAAGAACCCATTCCAGAACTTGTTGCTCAGAAGGAACAGACCTCAGCTTGTGATTGGGGGGTTAGCTATCCCGGCTTTCCAGCAGCTGACTGGGAATAACTCAATCCTCTTCTATGCTCCTGTCATCTTTCAGAGTTTAGGCTTTGGGAATGGAGCTTCATTATATTCTTCTGTTATTACTAGTGTTGCCCTTGTCATGGCTCCTCTCATCTCAATGGCTGTCGTCGACAAGTTTGGCAGAAGAGCATTGTTCTTGGAAGCCGGTGCTGAAATGTTAATCTACTTGGTAGTCTAACAACTCATCCATTCTATTAAATAACCCTAGTTTTGATAAAATTATCATAAGTTTGGTCATAAATTAAGTTGACAACATGTGTGTGTATATGCAGGTGGCAGTAGCAGTTGTTTTGGCATTAGAGTTTGGTGAAGGGAAAGACTTGTCAAGAGGGACAAGTATATTTCTAGTGATAGTGATATTCTTGTTTGTGTTGGCATATGGAAGATCGTGGGGTCCATTAGGTTGGCTAGTTCCGAGCGAGCTTTTCCCATTAGAGATAAGGTCGTCCGCACAGAGTGTGGTGGTGTGTGTGAATATGATCTTCACAGCGCTAGTGGCACAGTTCTTCCTGATGTCACTATGCCATCTCAGATATGGAATATTCTTGTTGTTCGGTGGGTTCATTGTGATCATGAGCATGTTCATATTATTCTTTTTGCCAGAAACAATGAAAGTTCCAATTGAGGAGATCTATTTGCTATTTCAAAACCACTGGTTCTGGAGAAGATTTACTTTAGAAGATCCATCCCAGTCCTTCAATAATACTGCTTAGTGCTGATCTTCAATGAAGGCTAATTCCTATACGATCCTACATAGTAATCTGATTCTGGATGCGTGGCAGCCTGCCCAATGTAACAAAGGTGTACTTCTATGTCCATCAGAAATAAAAAAGACAATGGGAGTCTATTTACATTTATGTTTTTTTCATTCCCTTATGTCGGATTATATGTTATAGCACTTCTCTTGAAAATCACACAAGATTCTTTCTAATTCGAAAAACACTTAAATCGTTCAAGTGGATTTTAGATGCACCATCACATAATTTGGATCTGTTTAAATGGCTGCAATAAGTCAGAGATTGATATATATTTTTTGCTCATATGAGAAATACTCAAACTGAATTCTTCAAAATTATTATTATAAAAAATGCAATTCATGAAATTGATATCCCATATCATGTTTATATTTATCATCTCTTTCTTTTCTTTTCTTTCTTTTTTATTATCATTATAAGTTTTGATCATATACAGATGAAAAGGGGCCAGGTTTTAAGATTCAATTATCGTGGAAGAAACTTTAATTGACCCATTAAATTTTTGAATACTGAGCTTAAATCGCTAACCTGTTTTAAGGTTCTCCCTTCATTAAAACATGTGAGCCCACAGCTTCTTGGCCCTACAAACAACTTTCCAACTCATCAATCAAGTTATCATTGGTTTTATTTAAAAAAAAAAAACTGTTAGTACTTCACTGTATCGAAAATGAAATTATATCACTAGATTAGCCAATATCAATATTTAAAATTCGATATAAATATAAAATTTATTAAAAAAATACACAATTAACTAATTATAAACAATTTATCATGGGTTTCTTATATATTTTTAATTTGACATTGTGAGTTTTTTATATTTTTATGATGGGTTAAGGTATAAATTTACCTTCAAAGTTTTTATATAGGCACACATTATATCTGTAACTTTTTTCTTCCAATGTTTTTTAATTTGATAAATGTCGCCCTCTTGTTAGGATTTGACCACATTGACTATTAGTTTGGCTCTTAATTGCTTTGTTGGCAATCACCTAGCTTATTTTAGGATTTTAAAATTAAAAAAAAAATCAGATCCACATCTTCTCCCCCCCTTCTTCCTCGTCCCTTCCCCCTTCTCCTCGCTACCCAGCTTGCTTCCACCGATGTTGAGGTGGTTCATGTTGTCATTGGTAGTGCGTCTTCTTCATTCCTTCCTCTCCCTCGTTCTTCTTTAGTATTTTTCTACAAAACTCAGAAAAGGGTTTAACCAAAACCCAAATCTCACACCTCTTGAGTTGGCTGACATCCTTGCACGATGGAAGAGCCTGAGCATAGCCTTGAGTTCAGGAGGGGAATGGAATTGGAAGCCTTGACTTCTACTTGCGAAGGGAAAGCATGATCTAGGTTTGTAAATCTAGGTTGAAATTCACCGTGTCTCTTCTCTCCTCAATCCCTCATGTTTGTCAATCTTGGTTGAAGATTCTCCCCTGACTTGAGCACGATAGGTCCGATCGAGTGTACAGGATCTAGTTCTATCGAGTATACAAGATAGGGGTTCATTGAACCCTCATGTTTATTGATTTGGGTTGAAGGTTCTCCTCTCTAGTACAGTCAATTAGTTTTGTAAATCAATATTCGCACAGGGCTTGAGTTTGAGACATATGGTTCGTATTGTATTGTAGATATGAGGTTATGGTTTTTTGATTTGTCTTTAAGATTGATATTAGTCTGTTACTATGTGTGATGCTTTTGTTCTTCTCCTTCTTCTTGATTTCCAATGGTGTCAATTTTTTATTGATCTTTTTTGTATCCAAGCTTGGAGTTTTAAATTTCTTGTGAGAATTTCGTATTGTGACCGAGTTGTTCTCTTACTATAGTTTGCTCCCTAATTCATGTTGAGAGAGCCCTGATTCAATTTCAAAGGGAATTTTAAGGTTCAATTATGGGTGAGTTTCAAAGTGATTTCTTTGGTCCAAATCAAAGTACAAAGTGTTGAACCGTGTATTTTAATAATTACAAAATTAAAATACAAAGGTTTGTTATTTGTACTAATTAATGATATATATTAACTAAATGATAAAACCTCTAAAAGCATAAAAAATAAAAAACTTAGACTTTGTAGGTCTATTATTTATTGATTTCTTCTCTTAGGATATATTATAAAAACTATTGAGAGCTAAATCATAATTTGAATGATAAAAATATATTCATTAGATCATATCTTAAGCTCATAAGTTTTAAATCATCATTGTTAAACATTTGAAATGCATGTATGCTTAATTGTTTGATCTACACTTTTTCTAGGATGAACCCATGCGTGGATCAACCCATCCTTATTCTAGGAGGTTACACCAGATAAAATTTCCATATCACCCTTAGTCATTAGGGTGAATTCACATCCAGCCATAATCATAAAACATACTCAAGTTATTCAATAACATGTCATAAATATAAATTTGATTAATTTATCTCATAATTAGGCGCATGTTATCAAATTAAGAATATATAACCAATATTTAATCTCATGACATAAACATTATTAATGGAAATAAGCCCAATACGCTCTAAAACAATTAATCTACAAATTAAGATTAACACATATTATTAATGGCTAATTGTCATTAATTAGCCTTAATCATAGTTAAGACCTTAAACTCTTCATTAAGCATGATTAAGCAAAATAAATTCCAAAAATCACCTTCATCAACTTATTTAACTTTCATTTAGCTTAATAAATAATGTTAGCTAACATCATTAGCTTAAGCTTAATTAATTAGCATTAGGGTCAACTCTAAACTCATTGTTAGCAACTTTAACTACGACCGTTAACAAAACCCAATGACTTGAAGCATAGAACAACACTCTTAGACTCCATTAGAGTTATTAGAATGGGTAGAAATTATCCATAAATAAAAACAACAACTCCCCAAGCCCAAACACTGAGAGAAAAACACATAAAAGGGAAGGAGAAAGAAGAGGAAGCTTATTCAATGATTTAGAACCTCCATGCTTCTCCCTCTCTCCATTTCCTACTCAACTCTCCTTTTGTTTTAGTTGTTATTTGAGTCTTCTGGATTTTAAAGTCCACCATGGTGCATGGCACAATATGAAAACCTTAACTTAAACCCATTAATTTGGGCTTAAAGTGGCCCAATGACTCTTTTGGTCCCCTTCTAATCTTTATATAAAGTCCAATGGACCTATTAGCCATACAAGTACCCTAATAAGCTTCTAATTACCTCAATTGACTAATTAAACTTCTCAACTAATCAATTTAACCCTCATATTAAATTTTGGGATGTTATAAAGTAGATCATGTGATTAGGCTAGATGAGTGTAAATTCTCGTGCCAAGCTTTCTCTTCTCTTAAACTCTTTATTTCATTCAAGCTTTCTACATCTAATTGTTTTTAAGTTCATCATCATCTTGGGTTGGGGAAATATTTTGTGAAAATTTTAAGAATACTTAATTTATTTCCCTCTTGGGCGCCAGCCTTATCTAACACAAAGATTTTCAATTATGAGAGTTGTAATTCTTTTAAGATATGAAGAAGCTAGGGAAACAAGAAGACAAAAGTGGCACTGATAAAACGAATTCTCCTAGTGGGCGACAACATGGCAAGCCAGCTAGCAGATAACAGTCAAATTTATTAATTAGTTAACTATCAACCTAGTGAACCCTTAATGGCAGGGTGACATTGTACCAAATTAAAAAATATTAAGATGACATTATGCCAAAAAAACCTTAAGGATATGAGGTGTTATTGCATAGATACTTCGAGGGTATATTTATACTTTAATTTTTTTATTATTTAGTGCTAAGCTATAAGAGTTAAAAAATCATAATGCCGCATTTTTATATTATAAAAAGATAAATTCACTCGAAACTATAAAGCTAGGTTATAAGAATTAAAAATTTATTGTCTTATAAATTTATTAAGTTTCTGTTAAAGTCTAGTAAAATAATAAATAAAATGGCATGTAAGTTTCCTTTCGTTTTTGGAAAAACTCTTCCTGAAAAAACAATTTTCATGATAGTTAAAAAACTATTTTAGTGGCATAAAACAGAGTGCAGTAGAAATGAGTATAATAATTATAGAATTTTCGTGACAGTTGGTGACAGAGCTATCACAAAAATGTAACAATTACAGTGACAATTCAATCTCAGAACAGTCGCAGTAATTGGGTATTTTTTTAAAAAAAAAAAACCTATATAATTGTTTGCACAATGTTAACCCTTTAAAGATTAAAATTTTCATTTGAATAAAATTCTAAGTTAAAACGGCTTACATTATAAATGATAAATAATACACTAAAATTTAATTACAAATTACACGCATAAATAGTTTATTAAATGATCACTTGATCTCGATCCTCCTGCTGCATCTCTCCTTTATGCTTGAACAATATGAACACATATCTGCGGATTCCAATCATTGGCTTTGGGCACTCATACCCCACCATCTCTCTTCCTGCAATATTCAGTAATTAATTTACATACACATTTCCTTCCTCACACTGTCCTAGCAAGTTTATATATATACAAATTATTAAATTATGAGCTTGTCTTTTTATTCAGGAATAAAGAGGAAGAAGAAGAATCGACTAGTTAAGCTTAGAGTAGTTACCAAAGGAAGAGGTGTGCTTCACTCACATTAACCAAACTTTTGGCATATCCCAACTCAATATCATAACTAATTTCCATATTCCTTATTGTATACCGAATGCATGTTTTGACATAAGAAAATAACTAAAAAAAAGACTTCAAAATGCATGACTATAAAAGGTTCATAACTTGTATGAGTAGATGTCTTAAATTCAACATCCTGCTTCCTCATTCAAATTTGTCACTCTTTAGAGTTGCTGGCTATTGCAACAAGCTAATTATTACAAGAATTGTTGAAGTAAAATCAGAACCCAAAACAAGAAAGCCCAATCAAAACAAGCCCATTTAACTTTTCTAAATTCTTTCTTACTTTACCATTCATTTATTCTTTATCTGTATGTATATACATGGCACCA